AGATCTTAAAATTAGTTCTCAGTGAGAAAAAAAAAAAAAAGTCTATCCCCATTGCCAGAGTGTACCTGGAAAAAGAAAACAGAAAATTGAGTGGACAGAGAGAGAGGATTAGAAAGGGCTACATTTTACAAATTTCTTTTGCTACTCATCTTCACGCCACTTATAATTCTGAGATGTACAAAACAAATCCACTTATCTGAAAAATATTCACATTTAATGTGGATATTTAGAACACTGAAGCTTTTTAGGATCTTTTAGAATAGCAAATTTAATGAGGCTTTTTTAAAGTTAGCAATTTAAACTCATGTAAGAATACAAATTCACAAGTATGACTGGGCAAATTATTTCTTTTCTAAAATAATACATTGTTCCCCTCACTCCCCCCGGGCTGCGTTCATGATCCTGTTATCAAAGTGTTACATTGCTGATGTGTTTATTGGAATATTTGGGCCCATTTCTCTTCCACTCAACACATGGACTAGCAGTTTAAAATAATTCCTTTCTATTAAGCAAATGTGTGACTAAGGCACACTTAAACAGCCTATTAAACCAATGAGATGACAATGTGCTATCCTCAGAGAAAGTTTAATTTTTGAAGTAATTAATTACACATACCACAAAATGTCTCAGGAGAACATTTTGACTAGGCCTATCAACTTATTGTGCAAATAATTATAGTATTTTATTTGAGGCAAAGATGCTGATTCATCATTAGTAAGATGGCAACAAACAATTTATTTTTGTGACACTCATCTTTCCAGTGGGGAAACTACTGTCTGCTATATATTTATTTAATTTTAAAAGTCGATTTGTTGTTCTGAGGTTTTAAGACTGATATAAAACTGTGGTTCTAAATCACAGTATACGCCTTTTTTTTTTTTTTTAAATCTCAACAAAATCACATAGGCATTTGGAAAGGGAAATTGTGACTATTGTTTCTGGTTTCCTTTTCCTATTTATGGGTCTAGTTGCCCTGATAGTCTACAATGGTATACTTCTGATGCCTAGAGATATCCCCAAATTTACTCACACGTGCACATCATTGTTGAGGTAGGCTACCACCATAAGGACTCCTTTCTTCAAACTCTTTCACCATATTACAGAAGAAGTAGATAAGACAATCTGGTCAGTGGTTTTAAAACTTTCAATCATATCACTTTCTCGAATCAAAAGTTTCCTCTGATGTTTTCTATAGTGCTCAGTGTGAAGCACACAGGAGTGGACAGTAGAAGGTTCAGCAGAGAAAAGGGAAACACCTCACTATCTTTTATTAATCTTGGAATTTTGGACAAGTCACTTAACCTAGTTTCCTCATTTTAAAAGTTGGTTGTTAGTAATTCAATTAGGAAAAAAAAATCAACCATGTCTGACATGCAACAGGCACAAATGCTGACTGCATCAGAATAGTTTTCTTAGAGATAAAATAGGTCCTTTTTTTTTCCTTTGGAATAATGTCATTTAATAAAACTTTATGGTCCTTCTGATTAACTTAGCTATGTTGCCAACTAATGTTTTCTCAAGACCCAGAATTAATACAGATGAGAAAATCTTAACCTTTAGTGTGCTTAAGGATCATCCAGAAATCAAAAGATATTTTAAGGCTTTTTATCCCAATTTTCACATTTTGAGAAATATTACTTTAGATTGCCGATTGTATACTGAGCTGAAAAGTGCTTTCATAATTTTTTTTTTTTTTTATTTTGGTAGTAGAGACTGAACCCAAGGGTGCTTAATCACAGAGCCACATCCTCAGCTCTTTTTATTTATTTTGAGACAGGACTCACTAAGTTGCTTAGAGCCTCAATAAGTTCCTGAGGCTAGCATGAACTTATAATCCTCCGGCCTCAGCCTTCCAAGTCACTAGGACTATAGGTATGCACCACCATGCCTGGCTGAAGTGTTCATTTGTAGAAACATTGTGCTCAATGTCTTCCCTCCTGTTGTCTCTCGCTTCCTGCAGAGAGGTTCTTCACTTGCTTCCATGTCACCAGTCTCTGTACTTTGCCTGGATTCCCTGGGAAATTTTGGTTTGTCAGGTATAGTCAGAGAGTAAGCCAGTGTGGAATTAAAAAGTGGTGTGCCTAACCCAGACAACATTTGACAGAATGGCTGGGTACATAGAATATACTGGATGAGGTCATGTAACCTTGTCTCCTCAGGGAGAGAGCATGATGCACAACAAAGCAGAGAATCTGACATTCCAGCTGGGTTTTTTCCTGTCACTAAATATGTGACTATTTCTAAATTTCTTAGTCACTGTATCATGACAGTACCTTCTCTGGTTGAAGGAAGATCCTAGGGCTTAGATCAAAGTGTCTCTCAGGCTTCCTCACATCTCTAGGACCCAGGCTTTCCATAAAGGGCAGTGGGTACCCTACCTGAACACAAATTCCAGAGATACACATTTGCCATGTTTTCTTAGGAAAATAATCACTTATGATTCATTATCTCCTGGCACAATTCTATGTATGAAGTATTTTGAGAAGTACCAGACACCCAGATGTCTTGGAAACAACTTAAATGTTACTATGAATTCACATAACACTTGCTGTGTGTGTTCAGGATTTTTATTTACTTGGATTTATTGTGGAGAGAAATTAAAACGATACAAATCTGGCGGGGGCCTTGAGGTAATCATATCATAGTTGTGATGCTGTTAGTGAAGCGGTTTGTCATAGTGAAAGGTGTAGAGCAGAATCTATAGAATTGCTGAACATCTATTGTAAATGTAATTAAGCTTCTTCACACAATCTCTTAAATAAACTAATAAAGACATGTTAATTCATATACTTAATTGCAGTATTTTCATATAACAAATACCTCATGATATAGAAGTAAGGAATGTAAAATAATGAGATTTTTTATGTATGCCAGGTGATTTACCTATGTAAACAGTCTTTAAAAAAATAAAGAGGAAAAACAATTTTCTGCTTTCAATACTATTGTGAGTTATGGGAGTGAATTTATTTTATGATTTTTTTTCCTAAAGTGGCAGACTACCAAATTTATAATAGTTTGTCATTATCTGTTATATAATTCAACTCCACATGAGAAACTGAGTGAACACATTGGACTTTGACTGAATATTTAAGATCGTGATATCAGGCGTTCTGCATAGGCCCATACATGTCTGTGTGGGTAGTCTGACTGCTTGTGTGCTATTGATTTTTGCAGAGCATTCAGGGAGCTGACATCAATGCATGCAGGAACCTAATACTCTTAACCCTTTCCTAAACACATTCTTCAACATGGAAAATATTTTCAAATAAGTAAATGGGTTAAAAAGAATTGTAAAGTACTCATGTTTTTCTTGTAAAAATATGTGCACACAGGYAATTCAGATGCAAAAGAATTTTTGTTTGAATTGTCTAGTTAATTGCCTAAATTCTCTGCTTTGAACATATAAATATTACTTAGGGTAGAAGCAGCAGACCATATAAATCAATTAATCAATATTGATTAATTCTTCCCCTTCAGCTTTATCTTAAACTAAGGTTAGGTTTATGCTTATCCATAAGAAGTGAAGATTCAGATGTCTAGGGATAGTCTACAATGTTGTTCTGGCAATGTGTAATGGGGAAGTGTCTGTGAATGTTGAGTTTGGGAGGGAAAATGTATTAACAGACATTTGTAAGGAGTTATCCAATATCAGAAGAACATTTTACAAATAGTTTTTAAAGGTAAGCTAAAGTTTAACCTGTCCATTAACAGAAAATTATTTTAGAGTTTGTGGGGATAATGGATACTGGAGCTAGTCAATGACAAGATCAGTCTGAACAGCTGAATTTCTTACTTGAAAGCAGAACAGAAGTGAGGGAGAGACACTCTTATGGAAACATGGCATTGTGTGCATGAATGAAGTATGCATATTTTCTACACTTTTTTTTTTTTTTTACCTAAGCCACAACTATGGGTAAAGAAGGAAAAAAACATCAAATTTTCTTCATAGATTTACAGAAGTTTTTGTTGACAAAAACAAATATTTCTTTCATAGTAACTTCTTTTTTGTCAGGAGCATAAAAAGCACTTTGGTGATATTTTTGGTTTTCAAAGAGAAACTTTGCTATTTTGCTGAGGAAATTATATAGTGTTCTGTGAAAACTGCCTTACAGCAAGGAGTTTTAGAAAAGATGGGAAGGAAAAGCCATGTGAGATGTTTTCATTTTAGAAGTAACCTCTGTTTCATTGATTCCAACAGAAACCACAGAAAAAGAAATAAGAAATGTTTTTTTTCCCTCATAAGACAAATATATCACTCCCAAAATTCTTACAAAACCAACTGAGGCAAATTAGGGGTTTCAAAGCTAGTCACCTTATAAGTTGTTCAGAAAAAAATTTGCATTTAAATAGCTCTGTGCAGCTACCTTGAGATTTTCCCCTGGAATGTTTATGGCTCTTTTTTTTTCATTAATACTTAAAAAATACAATTTCATAACCAGTGTATTACTACATCTAGTTGTGTTAAAAAAAGGGAACTTCATTTCATAAAGTAGAAACATTCAAAGTGGTTTTGGGCAACCAATCACTCAGTCAAAATACTAGAATTCTTCATATTGAACACTTAATAGTAAAGTTAATCTGAAACCATATCAACTCTACATTTCTATCATAAAAACTCGATCATTAATAGCTCTATCAGAGAGAATAACTTGTGCTCCTACACATTTTATCTAGAGAAGTGAAGATATACAGAACTTCTTGGAACTTTCCCCCAAAATAGTTTATATATAAAAATACAGCAGATTTTTTTAACAGATAAATCTTAACTATTTTTTTTTCAAATAACTTGCCTTTACATATTCAGAAATGTAGATATAAGAAAAATACTAAATGTGCAAAGTGCTCTTTTATATGTACATTAAAAAAATACAATGTAATAATAGCTTTAAACATGTCAAAGAATCATAGGAGGGAGAGTCTTCAATGTCAGAAAATCTGGTCTGATTAGAGCTTTTGCTTGTAGAATTGTAAACAAACTTTTTAAAATGCTGAGAGTTTTCTCAGTTCTTTCCAACCAAGACACTCTCAAATACATCAAGTCCTGCTTTGAAGTAAACCTGAGCTGAATTAATGCTGTTCAACACATCTGACAGGGCTTCTTGGAGAGTCTCATTTGATGTAAGTGACTTGCAGTGTTCCCAAGCCTCCATGAGTATGGAAAACTGGCCTGTCTTCTCATCAGTGTGGTACAGGATGTTTCTGAAAGGAACAAAGGAGTGTGTAAATGTTTTATGCACAATGCCACTTTCATACCAAACACTGTAATGAATACTGCCAGAAGCAGTGTTGTTTGCAATATATGAAGACATTATAAAGGTAATATTGCTATTTTTTGATACCTAATGAATTAAGAGATAGAGATATTGACCATTAGTAGTTTCCCATTTTGATGACATTAGAGGAGATAATCAGACATGGGCCTCCTGATGAAAGAATGGTACATTATGAAATAGCATAAACAATTTTGCTAAAAAAGAAAAAAAAATGATGTGTATCTGATGAAGCTTCCATATTTAATTGCTAATAATTTCAAGGGACAGAATTATGCTAAATCATAGCACAGTATGTTCTAGAAAACCACAGACTGAAACAATATCTAGACAACCAATAACTCAGTTTGTTCAACTAATAAATTTCATTTAAAAAGTAGAGAAAGGAGGAACCTGTAGACCAGAGTTTCTCAACCATGTCCTACTAACACTTTGGGCCAGACGGATTTTTACTGTGGTGACTCTCCCATGCACTGTGGGATGATAAGCCGTATCCCTGGACTACATGGGCTAGCTATTAATAGCATCCTTCTTTTTGTATCAAGAAATGAAAATGTGTGCAAACATTGCCAAAATATTCCTAATAGGGCAAAAGTAACCCCAATTAAGAACTAGTGTTCTAGACTAAAAGAAACATGTCAACCAGTCACAAAATAAAGATTTTGTTAGATTTTATGCAAACAAATACATTAATATAGGAAGTACACAATTGAATGCTGATTATTGATTGATATAAAGCAATTATTAATATTTTAGATATCATGGTATCATTAGCATGTCTTCTAAAATTGCTGTTGTCTTACAATAGTATGTAAAGTAATATTTGCAAATAAATGTTATGATATCTGAGATTTACTTTAAAAATACTTGGAGGGAAAATATAGAGTGGAGTTATAAACAGTATATATAAAATAATATGAACCATTAGGTAATAATTGTCAAAAGTGGGAAATGAAATTTATTATACTATTCCCTCTTCTTTCTTACATGTTTGACATCTAGAATGACATTGTCTTAGTGTGTAATATGATGGTTTCCTGATACTTAGTCAAATGATTGAGAAAGAGGAATTTAGGTACACAATAGCATATTCCTGTAATCCCAGCAGCTCAGGAGGCTGAAGTAGAAGGATCAAAACCAGCCTCAGCAAATTTCTGGCAAATATATTTCCAGAGCTTAAAAGTAAATAGATATTTTCAAAAGCTGTATCAAATACTTCTATTCCTTGAGGACATATTTGCTCAGCTTGCTCACAAACAAAAATATTATAATCATTATTATCAAAACTCCTCATTAAATGAACTGTACCACTGCAGTTAGTACATTATGAAGAACCTACTTAATGATTCTTAGGCTATTACAGTGATTTTCTCCACTATTTAAAAACCGATATAAAGTACATTCATATATATATACAGTCTATGCCTATTAAATGTTAGATATTAATATTCAGTCAAATGATAAGATGATATTAATAAAACATGCTCATAAAGGTTACAGGATTGATCCCTTGATGACAATTCATTCAATCATGAATAGTCTCTAATATATTTATGTAAAATTTTAGTCCCAACTACTGCAAAATATCTAGAAGAGAGATAATATGGAAGAATAAAAATACATCCTACAATGAATGTCCAGGTATAAAGAACAAAAAATACAATGATTATAATTACTTTTTAAATACCCACATTTGCTCTTCCTAACTAGGAAGCTACATAGTAACATGCTTTTATAATGACTGTAAATATTCCATGTGAATAAAAATGAATCTTTTTTGCTTTGTGAAATTCTACAAGGAGCTAACCACATTTTCCATATGCTACATGAATCGAGTAGTAAAGTTATAGCAAGCTATTATACAGATAAACACTCATATCCATTTCTACCAAAATTGGATACAAATCAGAATAAAACTACAGATACTGAGATTCTAGTTGAGTACAAGACACTAAAATGTTTTCATCTCAATTTACGAGAAAAATCTTCATTTGAGTAGATGCTGATGTAACTTAAGTAAGTTTATCATTATTATAATAATAAAAGCTCTTTTTCCACCTTGAAAGACTGCATTACCTGAAAAACAAATTATGGATAACAAAAATTAAAAAAAATCTTTAAATTTTCATTAGATGGATCATTTCTCCTACTGATTTGCAGAAGTAGCTCATCTTTTCCAATTTCTTTGTGTGTGTGTGTGTGTGTGTGTGTGTGTGTGTGTACTAAAACCATATAGCTTCCTGCTTACATAAAATAAAATTCTGCATTTTCATTCCTTTCTGAAAGGTAGCATTATGTTATTTTATTTTTAATATTTGAATTAAGCCTAAAACAAAACCCAGGCAATGCTTAAATTCCATCACATACATTCTTACATATTTCTTAGTTCTGAGATCTTTCTTATATACTCAACCATTAAACTTACATATTCCAGGATAACCTCTGAGTACCAAAACTATGATTGTACCATTTTTAATATGCAAATGCTTCTTTTCTTTTAAATATTTTAGTTAAATCAATGCTTCTGATGGTAACCTCTAAATCTTCTAAACATCTTTGTATTACCACGTGATGCCACCAAAATTGAACTTTAGTCCAACAAAATGCAGAGATTTCAACAGCATATCTGTATCAGGCTGCTTAAATGTTTCTTCTTCCTAATTATGGATCAATATTATTCCAATTAGGTCAGACCCGGAGTGGATCCATAGTCTGTGAAAGTCACAGGTCTGGAAGGAAAACTGAGTGGAAGTGAAAAAAAATACATTTGAAGAGTTTCTATGTCAATAATCTGTACTTCACAACCACAAAAAATGTATACCCCTTAGTGAACCATTCATGCTCTTAGATACATCTGCTTCAGTACATTTCAGAAAGTTTCTCTACATAAAGAATGGACTGTATTAGCATGGCTCTAAATCAATAAATCAGAATCCTATTTGCATACACACAACATGCATCTCAGCATGGCATGTAGAGACATCAGACCTAATTAAAATATTATTTAATTGAAATCATTTTAGTAGCTATCGTGTTTAAAATAACATTAATTCCACCCTCATGCCTATCTCCCCTCATCTGTAACAATTTGGATCTTATAAATGTAATTCATACAGTCATCCTGACCCACACACAACACAAAGAGACTACTAAAAGGAAAGTGTAATACATTATTGATGACACTAATGAAATTACAACACACATCACTCATTTTAATGGGTCTGTTTCAATGACACATCACGGTGACCAGGAAAGAGCAGTGCCAAACTCAGAAACCTAATTAATAACTCCCGGCAGCATTGGTGAGGGAGATGAAGTGTCTTTACTCAACTGACAAATCTTTCCCAATCAACTAATGCAAAAGAAAACTGGAAAAAAAATGAATTTTGAAATAAAGGCATTTAAAATCTTCATGAGTCATTACCCTGTGTGTGAATTAGCAATTAATGATGGAAATGATAACTCTCTTTCAAATATTCCTTTGTATATTCATCAATGGCACAGGATGCCACCCATTGTAAACCTGAATTAACATTCATTATACCTCATGTTGAGAAACTCTTAATGAAATCACACTAAATAATAAGTCATATCTTGCAAAGCTGATTGTGTATACATGCTGAATGCAAAGAGAAAGGGCTAGCTCTAGTTCTCATAATTGTTTCTAATTCTTTTAGGGATTGTACTAACTTTACTTCATAGTTAACAGTGGACTATTATATTTATATCAATATTAGAAAAAAATTATTTGACTTGGATGAAAATTCACTAAACACATGTCTACCCTATTTAAAGTGCAAACAAATATCCTTTCAGTTAAATTTGAATTTTGTCTCTCCTAGTCAAAGCAGAAGGAAAATTAAGACCATGGTTGATATTGTCAAGTCTTAAACTTATGCTCCAGACATCTGAGACAGAAAGACATGCATGGTAGATGGTTTGAAAAAATGGACTGGGGATCTAGCTCAGTGGTAGAGTGTGTGCTTAGCATGCATGAGATCTGGGTTCAATCTCCAGCACCAATAAATAAACAAACAAACAAATAAATAAATAAATTTTTAAAATGGTTACAATGAGTCCCTTTTCTGTTATCAGACTCCATTAAAACTTGACTTTGCATCTCATTCCATCAAGGTAAAGAATTTATTTGAATGCTTGAAACTGGTTTGGCCTTACTATTTGCTTTGAGAAATAAGAGTGTGGCATACTTACTATGTGAAAGCCTCAATAGATCCTACATGCTGCCGTTCTGTCTCTTCCCCAAGCTATTGTGAAATTTATACTGGGTTAGCCTGCTGGAAGAACAGGTACCACATGGAATACCAAAGACCTGAACGGCGAGGCCTTCCTTTTCCAGTTAAAAATCAGATGAGTTGGTGCTCAACTTGTTAAGACAACCAGTGCCCACTGATTACAGACACAAACACAGCTAGGACAGAACCTCTCCATCCCAGACCAAGAACCACACAACTGACTTCAGCCTAAATGGTCAAGCTAAAGAAATATGGACAAAATAAACAATTATCATTTTAAGCCACTAAATTTTGGAATGATTTTCAAAAGATAGGTGATATAATTTGGTAGTGCTTCTCTTCYGGAAGAGAAAGGTTTATGTTGATATAAGAGTGAGTTCTCTATTATCTTTTAACACATTGACAGAGTACAAGGTGTAATAGGATTATACAAGTCTTCAAATGACCAACTAAATTCAGAGAACAATGAGAAAATCATGTCAAACAGTCCTCATGAGGTACACATTACAAAGTTTATTTGTGTTGATTCATTAAGTTTTAAATTTGTTTACAGAGAGCCAGGTGGGATTTTTTTTTTTCATTAAACACACACAAAGTCAACCAATATTATGAACTGAATATTTGTGTTCCTTCAAATTTATATATTGAAGTCTTATCCCCACAATGTGATAGTACC